ACACAAGCTGGCCGTACGGGAGCAGTTCAAAAATTCGATGTCGGATAAGAAATACTTAATTCCTTTTTTGAGACATTATCGAACGTTTGAACTGGTCCCTATGTTCGACTAAGTTAAAACGGTTGTCAGACTTTGGGGCTCAGTGCGTTCCTTCGTAACACAATGACCAGACTCGATCTTTTCCAGGCTGCCGTGATACAGCATTGCGTGGATCGATGCTCATGATATCAGTCACTGGATTGGCTGGTCCAGACTCGATTATTTACAGACCGCCGTCATATAGCTGAATTATTGCTGAGTGTGGCGTAAAACAACAAACCAACCAACCAACCAGCATGTCATCGTATCCCAATTGCGTGGATCGATGCTCATGGTGTCAATCACTGGATTGTCTGGTCCAGACTCGATTATTTACAGACCGCCGTCATATAGCTGGAATATTACTGAGTCCGGCGTTAAACAACAAACATTAACATCAAACATCAGTATAATAATAGTATTGCATTGTCTGCCCTGAGCGACAAGAAACGCATTACATTCCGTGCGTCTAAACAACTATATCACTGTTCTAAGATTATTTCGATATCATATTAATTTATAGTTCTTCCATTGTCCTGATTCAACACCCTGTTATACAGACAAATAGCTGTTAAGGAACAATCATGTTTCATTCAATTCATGTTCAATTCAATCAGTCTGTTTGTAGATATCCAACTTGCAAGTATGCCTTTGAGTACGTGTGCAGGTAATCGTGGATTAAAGGTAATTTGAAAGAGATGGCTTACCTTTGATCATCAGGAGAACAGGTACTGAAAAAACAACACCACCAAAACAGATCCCGAGATTTCAAAGCAGCTAGTAGCTTAGCAGAGTCGTGTTCGGTGGGGTTGGCGATCGCGGGAGCGTACAGCGTGGAAAATGTGTACAGCGAGGAAAACGTGTACAGCGAGGAAAACGTGTCCTTCCTGAACGGAAGGCGAGAACTCGCTCAGCCACTCAGCTACGACGCAATACAATCGATGTGTACCCGTTTCATCGATCGTGTTTACTGACACACGCCGTGCAATAGGCGTGTGTCATTCTGTAATCTGTCGCCCTTACAAATACGTTTACGTAATATTCCTAGCGAAACAATCCGATATTTGATTAAAATTGTCGCTTTGCTGAGATGCCGCGTTTTGGCTAATTTTGTCACTTGTCATTTCTTATTGTAAGGGAGAGAACACGACTCCGTAGCCTCTAGGACTACATAATTTACATCATGTATTCGAAGTGAAATGAAATTGGACATATATGACCCTACACAAAACGCAGATGCTGTGCCAGAGTTGCATATGTCCTTCTGAAACATCATATTAAAAAAATCATTTTTTACTCCAAGCCCATATCAATTGCAACATCGCAAAAAATAGTAAATTTGCCACACAGCTGTTGTCAATAAAAATGCACATGAAGTTAGTCAAATTCCTCTTGTTTACGCTTTCGCTCAAAAGTGCCGCCGTTGAAATATTTTTTTCAGTTTGAACAAATTACAACGTCTGATTGAAAATTCCCTTTCGAAAGGAATGTTTGAAATCTTCAAAAATATACTGGTAAACGTTTGAGAAGGATCATCTCTACGCATCTATGTATTAATATGCTTAAGAAACCCACTTAATGCCCAGTTTATCGATGATGAATGGGGTATATTTTTTCTTCACTGTATTTGTGCAAGGCATAGTTTTTCACATCAAGTGACAAAGCGTATACAACAAACTATTCAAACAGTAATACATACCTACTGACATCTGTAAAAAACAGCCTTTGTGAAACATTGCCACTTCTCATATTGAATTGTATACTTGGCCTACCTTTAGAATACAGTGTCTACATTTTTTAAACGATCTTAGCTACGCTTAATCTTAACAACTTTCGTTCAAGGATAAGATATCTTAAGTTTAAGATAAGATACATTTTCGAAACTATCTTAATATGTCGCAGATCATACAAGGTTAAGATACCTATCGTAACTCTGACAGAGAACTCATTTGTGTTAGAGATTGAAAAAGCGGGGTGTTTCCTAGTGACGTCACGGGGATTTCCTAGCCGCTGACAGTAACAACAACATAGAGAAGTGACACGGAATTCATGATCACATTGTAGGTTCACATTGTTTGACATGCAACTATTTGAGGGACATTCCGTACAATCCTACATATGTCCTACATGTAGACGTTTTGTTCTTATGATAAAAGATGCCATGACTACCCGACCACATAGCATTCGTGTGCCATGCAAAGGCATTTTTCAAACCCAATAAATGTTATAATTAATACGTGTAGTGTTACCACACTATAGCTATAAGAATTGAAATAATGTGCAAAAAGATACTTCACCATTTTCCCTTCAAATGGTCCTCTCGCGGACATGGAGCTTTAAGTAAACACATCGCGTACAAAGTCCCACACCGAAACATTGCACCGATCCTAATTGCAATAAAGAAGTTGTTCATCCATACAAATTATCCTTACTTAGTACTCCAACTTCTAAATGCCTCTCAAAGAAGAAAATAACGTTGTAGTTTTAACTTATTAATGGGCAAAATGGCGTCACGCAAATTTGAAAAAAATCGCTGGCTAACTTCCAGGTAAATATTTCATTTTTACCATGATAATCGGGTTAACCAATAAGCTTTCATATGATGATTTTGTTTTTTACATAAATTTAGATTTGCAACCTGACGAGACACACTAAGGGCCCATTGCGCAATGTAAACAAAATAGCGACCGAAGACATTTGTAACGAAACGCATATTCGATACGTTTGCCGAGCTATTATTTCCTCAAAATCAAGTTAATGGTTTACAATATTTACATAGTTAGGGACATGATTGAACTTTTATGGAGTGAATTTTGAAAATTGTGGGTTTTACAATTGTTACATTATGTCGTTTTTAGACGAAGGAATGCTGTTTTCACAAAGAGTTAATTTTAGGCTATTTTTATTTGGCAGCCTGATGTTAACGTCGTGTTCAAGATTATTACATTTACGTATTACTCGCCCTTCAGTAGAGCCGTTTCGTGACAGATATAGGGTCAATTGTGCACGTTGTGATAAAAGCATGAAACTTGGCATAGTTGTGGGTAATGACATTCCAAATATTTTCAGATGTGGGGCAACGCAAAACATCCAATGTGGCAAAGATGTTTCTTGAAGATATATAATTGTTATGATAGATTTGATAGTATTACATTATTAAATCTTTGAATGGCTTTTAGTAATGATACACATATGAGTGAGGATTTATAGATGTCAACTTCTTTATGAGGTGAATGAATGCTAGGTTGCAGGGAGCAAATAGATGTACATGTAAAAGACACCAAAGGTGAAAATACATCATGGTTGGAAATGTAACAAACTTTTCACTTTTGTTGTATTTTACGTGTACATATAATGCTCTTTTCTAAAGAAGTTGACACCCATAAATCCTCTCTCTTATTATATTACTGTGTATAATTACGCTTTCACGACATAATCGGTGTATGACATGGGATGGCCAGGCAATGTGATTTTGTTGAGTGATTTAAAATCAGGGATGAGTCTTGGGTAAACCCTTATCCACCAGAGACTATACAACAGTCAAAGCAGTTAAAACATCTACATAACGCCTCTTCCTCCGAAGAAGGCAAACTCTGTTCCATCAGTAGACAAGGTGTGGGCTTCTGTTTTCTTGGTTCCTCAAGGAACCGTTCTGTTAAGAGTATCAAGGCCATACATGTGCTGTTCCAACAGGACAATACACCTGAGCACAAGTGTGTTGTAGCCATGGCTGCAATACATGACTGTTGACTTCTCCGCATTTACCAGATTCGTCAACGCCCCTCCACCCTTATGATGCTGGGGACCATCCCTGGGCACCTTAACAGGATATTAACTAAATGTGAAGCAACAGGTTATCAGTGTTTCGTTTTGCGACAGTTCGATCAAAGTGTATGCAGATACTGAATTGCGTTTATTTTCGTAAATAATTGTGAAAAATTAAAGGAACAGAATTAACAGGGTAATATAAATCTTACATTATGTACAATGTATCAAATATGGATAGAGTCTTGTGTTTGTAAACCACTCGTGAAATGAATCATCATATCGCAATTGTGTGTGTGGGCGTATGTTGCCCTGTTTATCCCGTCACAAAAACATCGATCTGCTCGGCGTTCATATCGACCTCGAAAGTAGCGTATCCTGACAAGTATATTTATACAGTATCGATTAAATTTAGAACATCTTTCAAAAGAGCTACTTGACATAAACCGCGTTGATTGTGTTCTTTATAAACTCAACATAACAAATTAACAATAAAAACGGCCATCTGATATGCTTGTGTTCTCGTCATAAGTCTAAATATTAATTGACATATTGATGTTGGAGTAGTAGACAAATACTCAAAACTTTAATCATGAAATATGATAACCTATATTTTGTTTCAAAATATGAACGTATTCAAGTTTACACATCACCTATACATTATACGGTAACGTATGGATACGCAATGCCAATAACAAATACATAGAAGAGACTAGTCAAGAGTTTCGTGTTCTATATTTCTATGCCTTTGACGTAGCTTGTCTTTGGGACCGTGGTCCCGTTTGCTACTTCACAGTGACCAAGATAGTGGGGGAATTAACCTGGTAGAGCTGATTATTCGGCTATCACCTTAAAACAGAGAGAAGGCTTCTGAGTCCCTTTAAGTCTTTATTCGTGGCAGAGTCAAATTTCATATATAGAGACATATTTAAACAATATTACATTACAAGATAGATGCCGTCAATGACTTTTCACATTAAATATATAATTGACAATCATACATGAATTGATAGCGACTGGTCTGAACGTTTCTTAACAGGATTGTTCTGACAAATAAGGTACAAAAATCGAAAAAAGCGACTGGGAGGTATTTTTACATTTACGGCATTCTAGCGTTACTCATGTATTTACATACAAATTTCAATTTCAATGCCGTAAATGTTTATTATAACCAATTGATAGACGTAGCATGACCAAATTCGCATGAGACGGTATTTACGTGAGATTACCCGCGGGTATTTACCACAATGTACCCTTTCTCATGCTATGTAATGTACGGCTTTGTCTATCACTTGGCACATCAACAGTTAATGTACAAGTGAACTAATCTACAATATCTATATAAACACACACATACAATTGACATCCAAGTTGCTTTGCGGTATAATGAATGACATATAACTTATTCTTAAATAATACAAACCATGGTCAATATATAGTTGCTTGCACAGGATATCATATAAGTTAAAGGCAAGGAGAATTTAACAAGAAAATAATGCTATCTTACTTTTTAAAACAGAGAGAAGGCTGCTGAGTCCCTTTAAGTCTTTATTCGTGGCAGAGTGAAGTATCTGCCTATATATAGTGAGTGAGTGAGTATGGTTTTACGCAGCTTTTAGCAATATTCCAGCAATATCACGGCGGGGGACACCAGAAATGGGCTTCACACATTGTACCCATGTCGGGAATCGAACCCGGGTCTTCGGCGTGACGAGCGAACGCTTTAACCACTGGGCTACCCGACCGCCCCGCCTATATATAGGGACTCAGGCCTTCTGTAGAATGCGTTTGTTACCTAACAGTGAAAATATTGAAATATGGGTTAATTATAGTGATTTTAGAACTATGACACCTTTGTCGAACTGGTGTGAGGATTCAGGCAACAATACCACAAAGAAAGTTGTAACTGCTCTCTTGACGCCATGGCATCCCAGCTGCAGGAACAGAGTAGATCCCGCACATTATCATGTTAATGCAAACATGTCTGGCGAAATTGTACATGAACAATATGCATGGTCTCCGTTCAGTTTCTGGAGCAAACATGTGTCCATCACTGAAACTGCTACAGTCGTTGTACATCGGTCCTCTTCAAAGTGTCTGGAACATAAGAAATCTTTGGAAAATCAACTTTGAACAGAGGCGACTAAGGGATCATTTGGCCAGGCCCGCTGACTTGGTTGATGCACGTCATCGTATCTCAATTGCCTAAATCGATGCTCATGATGTCAATCACTGGATTATCTGGCTCAGGCTCGATTATTTACATACCGCCGTCTTATAGCTGGAATACTGATGAGTGCGACGTTAAAAACAAACAAACAAACAATACATACACAGATCCTACTTACCGTTAAACTTCATGGTCCTCTTATCTGGTTCAGACCAGGCGCCGGAGAACAATCACGACCTTCTTAAGTTTGTTGATCATATTCCGTATAATACCAGTGGTTACATCTCTAACCACACCAGAGGCGTCAACCAGCTCCTGCTTGAACAGAGCAACTGCTCCGGCGACGGAGGTGGCGATTATAATGACAGCCATTACAATAGCTGTCAGGCGCCAGGAAAGGGGGTCTGTCACGAGGGAAGGTGTCAGATTAACCATCTGCAAAAGAAAACAGTATCAATGTTACCTCGCCCATCCTTTTTCGAATGTCTACACGCCTGACTGGGCACGTGTGGTTTAAAAGGTTAACATTGTCATTGCTGCGGACATGTTTTCACTTGTTAATATTGTAGACGAGACTATGCTTTTTGCTCATTGGAATGAAATAATATATAAGTCTTCCGTGAAACACAAGCTGGCCGGCCGTATGGGAGCAGTTTAAAAATTCGATGTCGGATAAGAAATACTTAATTCCTTTTTTGAGACATTATCGAACGTTTGAACTGGTCCCTATGTTCGACTAAGTTAAAACGGTTATCAGGCTTCGGGGCTCAGTGCGTTCCTTCGTAACACAATGACCAGACTCGATCTTTTCCAGGCTGCCGTGATACAGCATTGCGTGGATCGATGCTCATGATATCAATCACTGGATTGGCTGGTCCAGACTCGATTATTTACAGACCGCCGTCATATAGCTGAATTATTGCTGAGTGTGGCGTAAAACAACAAACCAACTAACCAACCAGCATGTCATCGTATCCCAATTGCGTGGATCGATGTTCATGGTGTCAATCACTGGATTGTCTGGTCCAGACTCGATTATTTACAGACCGCCGTCATATAGCTGGAATATTACTGAGTCCGGCGTTAAACAACAAACATCAACATCAAACATCAGTATAATAATAGTATTGCATTGTCTGCCCTGAGCGACAAGAAACGCATTACATTCCGTGCGTCGAAACAACTATATCACTGTTCTAAGATTATTTCGATATCATATTAATTTATAGTTCTTCCATTGTCCTGATTCAACACCCTGTTATACAGACAAATAGCTGGTAAGGAACAATCATGTTTCATTCAATTCATGTTCAATTCAATCAGTCTGTTTGTAGATATCCAACCTGCAAGTACATGTATGCCTTTGTGTACGTGTGCAGGTAATCGTGGATTAAAGGTAATTTGAAAGAGATTGCTTACCTTTGATCATCAGAAGAACACCTACTGAAAACACAACACCACCAAAACAGATCCCGAGATTTTAAAGTAGTAACTTAGCAGAGTCGTGTTCAGTGGGGTTGGCGATCGCGCGAGCGCACAGTACAGCGAGGAAAATGTGTCCTTCCTGAAAGGAAGGCGAGTACTCGCTCAGCGCCTCATGATCAGCTACGACGCAATACAATCGATGTGTACCCGTTTCATCGATCGTGTTTACTGACACACGCCGTGCAATACGCGTGTGTCATTCTGTAATCTGTCGCCCTTACAAATACGTTTACGTATTATTCCTAGCGAAACAATCCGATATTTGATTAAAATTGTCGCTTTGCTGAGATGCCGCGTTTTGGCTAATTTTGTCACTTGTCATTTCTTATTGTTAGGGAGAGAACACGACTCCGTAGCCTCTAGGACTACATAATTTACGTCATGTATTCGAAGTGAAATGAAATTGGACATATATGACCCTACACAAAACGCAGATGCTGTGCCAGAGTTGCATATGTCCTTCTGAAACATCATATTAAAAAAATCATTTTTTACTCCAAGCCCATATCAATTGCAACATCGCAAAAAATAGTAAATTTCCCACACAGCTGCTGTCAATAAAAATGCACATGAAGTTAGTCAAATTCCTCTTGTTTACGCTTTCGCTCAAAAGTGCCGCCGTTGAAATATTTTTTCAGTTTGAACAAATTACACCGACTGATTGAAAATTCCCATTCGAAAGGAATGTTTGAAATCTTCAAAAATATACTGGTAAAACGTTTGAGAAAGATCATCTCTACGCATATTTGTATTAATAAGCTTAAGAAACCCACTAATTGCCCAGTTTATCGATGATGAATGGGGAATATTTTTTCTTCACTGTATTTGCGCAAGGCATCGTTTTTCACATCAAGTGACAAAGCGTATACAACAAACTATTCAAAAAGTAATACATACCTACTGACATCTGTAAAAAACAGCCTTTGTGAAACATTGCCACTTCTCATATTGAATTGTATACTTGGCCTAGCTTTAGAATACAGTGTCTAGATTTATGAAACGATCTTAGCTACGCTTAATCTAAACAACTTTCGTTCAAAGATAAGATATCTTAAGTTTAAGATAAGATACATTTTCGAAACTATCTTAATATGTCGCAGATCGTACAAGGTTACGATGCCTATCGTAACTCTGACAGAGAACTCATTTGTGTTAGAGATTGAAAAAGCGGGGTGTTTCCTAGTGACGTCACGGGGATTTCCTAGCCGCTGACAGTAACAACAACATAGAGAAGTGACACGGAATTCATGATCACATTGTAAGTTCACATTGTTTGACATGCAACTATTTGAGGGACATTCCGTACAATCCTACATATGACCTACATGTAGACGTTTTGTTCTTATGATGAAAGATGCCATGACTACCCGACCACATAGCATTCGTGTGCCATGCAAAGGCATTTTTCAAACCAAATAAATGTTATAATTAATACGTGTAGTGTTACCACACTATAGCTATAAGAATTGAAATAATGTGCAAAAAGATACTTCACCATTTTCCCTTCAAATGGTCCTCTCGCGGACATGGAGCTTTATGTAAACACATCGCGTACAAAGTCCCACACCGAAACATTGCACCGATCCTAATTGCAATAAAGAAGTTGTTCATCCATACATATTATCCTTACTTAGTACTCCAACTTCTAAATGCCTCTCAAAGAAGAAAATAATGTTGTAGTTTTAACTTATTTAGGGGCAAAATTTGAAAAAAAATCGCTGGCTAACTTCCAGGTAGATATTTCATTTTTACCATGATAATCGGGGTAACGAATAAGCTTTCATATGATGATTTTGGATTTTACTTAAATTTAGATTTGCAACCTGACGAGACGCACTAAGGGCCCATTGCGCAATGTAAACAAAATAGCGACCGAAGACATTTGTAAAGAATCGCATATTCGATACGTTTGCCGAACTATTATATATATTACAATATTTACATAGTTAGGGACATGATTGAACTTTCATGGAGTGAATTTTGAAAATTGTGGGTTTTACAATTGTTACATTATGTCGTTTTTAGACGAAGGAATGCAGTTTTCACAAAGAGTTAATTTTAGGCTATTTTTATTTGGCAGCCTGATGTTAACGTCGTGTTCAAGTTTATTACATTTACGTATTACTCGCCCTTTAGTAGAGCCGTTTCGTGACAGATATAGGGTCAATTGTGCACGTTGTGATAAAAGCATGAATCTTGGCATAGTTGTGGGTAATGACATTCCAAATATTTTCAGATGTTGGGCAACGCAAAACATCCAATGTGGCAGCCATGGAGGAATGAAATTCTAGTTATCTCATGTGACCCACAACCTAAATATATCAAGAAAAAAGAACATTTTGGAACATATTTATCCAACACTACATCCTTAAGGTAAATAATGTTATCACAAAAGACTATTTATGTTGATTTAGGTTTATCTAAAGTGTGAAAAGAATATATCAAAATATGCATTTCTTACTTTTTCGGCACTTCTTTAAGACATACTTCATGAAGGCGAAGTAACTATACGAATATTGTATACTCATATGGTGAATCCAAAAACAACAACAGAATATTTAAAGAAAGAAAAAATGGTTTTGATTGGCCCGAGACAATTAAATGTGATCACAGTTGCCACCACATTTGTAAAGTGGTGCACCAGTTAAATGTGGCATAACTCAGTCATACCTTGCTCAGCACCCACACTCAGATTTACAACTGCATCTCAGAAGCTCTTGGCATGACTAAGAAGCTTGTGGATGTGTAGTCCACAAAGGCTCATAGCAATGTGCTACTGATATTACCCATCCTCTTTTAGTTGGTGTGGAAAGGTATGTTTCGGCTTCCAGACTTCGTCGCCAACAGTGACCAGCATGAAATGCTGCTCTTTTGACATGTTGGTACAAAGCAGCTATATGTAGAGGAACAGAATCAATTTATCTATCTATCTATCTTAGTGAATAAGTCTTTGCGTGCCTCATCAACTCTTGTACACTACTGGCCCAATCATCCACTAAGACCACATAAGGCTGAATGACTATCATCATGTTCATCACATTCCGTTTGGATGGTACATCATCAATAAGATGGGAAGCCAGTGTTGCTTCATCATTCACGTTAGATTCCCACAGTGAAAGATGACTGGTCACAGCCAGTGAAGCTGGAAGTAAATAGGCTTTCTCTAGTCCATGGAATCCGGCAACGACATGATCATGAACAGCCAACTATCTTAATTGTTTGCCAGTCCAAAAGCTATCCAGATGTGAGACACGTCTATTCTGTCAAACAATGCAATGGTCGGGACAATGACCTCAGTATCAACTGTTCGAATCAAAATCCTATCATGACCCTGTCTAGCAGCATTAGACATGTGCAAAAAGTGTCTTGTGTCAGCTTCTCAATCTGGACATGGATGCAGATTATTGACAAATTCTGACCCTTTGTTGCATGATCCTGTTTACTGTAAGTGCGTATAACGTTTTTTATTCCCACATGCTTAAGAAATAACCTCTGCAGCCCAGAACTTAAACAGTTCTGTCTTGTTGTCGACAATTCTCAGAAGTGCCACCCATGTGTGAAGAATTTTGCTGTTTGGTTGAACGCAAAGCTGCAACTGTAAAACAGTCACTAACTCTTTAATAGTTTTGATCTACTTATGCACTTTATCTCACATCCGCATCGTAAGATGACTCACAAGCTGCAACTGTAATCACTGTCAATAACTCTGAACTTATATCATATTTCTACTGATGTATTTCGGTATGCCTCTTTTATATATGAGTACTCCCGGGACTATCTGAAATTCAGATTTGGCATTTCCGGCCCATAACCGACTAGACTGGTTTTTCGACCCGGTGACAGCCAGCACCATACCCGTACTTCTGGGTCTCACCAAAATGTCTAAGACATGCGTCCCTTCTGGCTTTCTTTCCTTCCACAATAAAATACTGTTCAAAGTTTCAAGAGAAAACTCGACTAGAATTATTCTGTTCATTAAAAAAACTACAGGTTTAATTCAATAAGTCACAAACAGATTTGACACACAAGAAAATTGTCTGATAACATAATGGCTGAGGATTTGTCATCTGTTTCCGCATCCCGACCACGTCACGTGATGGATAACTTTTACGCTCATATCGAAAATCTGATACACTTTCAAGCCGGAAGAAACAAATTAATTGTACAAGCTCGTTACTGAGTCGTCGGATACCGGAGTGTCCCTCAAAGTAACTGAAACACATAGGAATAATCTTAGCGTGAATGTCTATAGCATAACGTTAAACTGTAAATATATTGTCCTAAATTTAGACTATTAAAATACTGCTCGTGATAATCCAACATTTGATGGTTGTTTAATCGCTGCAACCGTGTTACCTTACAATATCTTAAAACATTATAATTACAATATATTGTTTTGTTTACGGCATGAAATCACAACATTTAAACAACATTGAAATCAGATACATACATGTACAAATGAATCGGCGTAATATATAGCACATTATCACTTTCATCAAATTATTAAAAATCAAGTTAAGCAAATAATTTATACAGTGTAAACGTGAACCCACCAGTTGACTGTTCAGTTATCATCTCCCGACTCCTGAATGGGATACCTCAAAGTCTCGTCAAGTATCGCCGGCATGGGGCCAGAACGGAGGTGACTCCGTGTATCCCGTATGGATTGTCTGTAGGCAACCAGAGTCGCCGCAGAGCTAGCAATGCAGACAGCGTAGGCTAGAACTAAGACTGCCATCTCCCTGTGCTGGGTGTAAGCCGGCGATATTACCACAGGTACCCGGTCAAGATTTGCCGAAATAGCAGATGCAAGAAAACCTGAAATAAATTATTCAAATTGTTGCATAAATGTTTGTCCCACTAGAGTCGTAACAGCGTACGACGTCCATTTTGAATGGAACATCTGTGTTTGAAGACATTCAGCATTCAGCGGGGCCAGAGGCAGAGAAAAACTTATAAATATGTATTTAAAAAATACACAGTGAAACCCTGTTAATCCGGACGGTGCAGTCCCCAGTTGTTCGGATGTATATTTACCAGGCTATGCTTGTTTTCTTTTTACGTCATTGTAACACGTCAAGTATAGGTTCTTTCACAAAATAAGGCCGACTGTGTTAATTGGTTAAGCGATATAACGGACAAAAGCGACAGTCACGACAATCCAGGGTCAATGCTATTTATCGGACTACATTGTAACACACGAGGGCCATTGCCTCTGAAACGTGTGTACATCGCTCACCAACCATACTGCAAATAAAGTTAAGTTATATAATTTTATTCTAAAAAAACACATTTTCGTACAAGAGGATATTTTATAGACAATTTACAACTATGTACACACTTACACGTGAATGTTTCTTGATATGTTTTGGTCTTGTAACACATAACATACGTTTATCTTCACATAAGCTAGGCCAAGTAAACATTTAAACAGATAGTGTTTGTTTGTTGTTAACGCGGCAATATTCCAGCTATATGTCGGCGGTCTGTAAATAATCGAGTCTTGACCGGACAATCCAGTGATTGACATCATGAGCATCGATCCACGTAATTGGGATACGATGACATGAATCAACCAAGTCAGCGAGCCTGACCACCCGAACCCGTTAGTCGCCTCTTACAAGCATAGTCACCTTTTACGGCAAGCATGGGTTGCTGAAGATCTGTTATACCCCGGATCGCCACGGGTCAGATAGATCTTTGACTTGTCTTTAGGTAGAAGGGGGCACGGGTGGCCCAGTCGTCTAAGGCGCCGCGATTCGCTGTGCAGAGTTGCGTCCCTTGGGCACGCCAGAAACCTATGATTGTGGGTTCGAATCCCATGAAATGCATGGGTCTAAACAGATGGTGACATTCATCAGTAGATGGAGAGTCGCGCAGACGGCATGTTCTGTCCCCACGGGGTAGACCAAGCCATCTGCTGGTCTTTTTCGGTCAAATGTGATCAAAGATTCTGTATTGAATTAAAGCCATTGACGTATTTTGGGGAAGTAAGGCCGTTTTGAAAGGCAAATAACTTCCCTAAATAGGATGTTTAACAAGGATGTTTAAAAGCATATATGCACACGTTCAAGTTCAAAACGGATATATGCTATATATATATGTCGATATTGTGTCATGGTTAAATATAAAACGTTAAATCAGCCTCGACTGTTAGCCGAAACGCAAATAATGTGTTCGCAAACGTCACGTACATGTTGCCCTGAGTGATCAACGCGCTAGTACAGCGAATAACCTGCACTATATATTTGGTCAGAATATGTCAATATCGATGTTTTTACTTTAATACAAAATCTCTGTTCACAATTTACACTTACTGTACAAAAGTTAGGTTGTTTGATGACAGTCACTGTAGAAACAGTGAGAGGCGAAAACAAATCTTATGTTTCCAAGTTATCTACCCATACGAACGTCATTTGACTGAGACACAAGTCTTTTGTATTACGAATTGTTCAAAAGGAGTTCTAGAGGAGAGAGGTAGTAACACCTTGTAATGCTGAACTTTCGGGTTGAAAGAAGGTATGATGGGGCTTCAACATAGTCCATTGTTATTAGTTTGACATAACACATACTGTATCAAAGCCCGATCAGTAGCGATATTTTCCTTTTTCGGATTTTGACGCAAACCAGAAAAAGGATGGGTTGGGTCACGAGGAAATATGGGACTACATGTTTATCTTTCTGGTTTCTTCAAGAAAATGAATAGTACTGTTGAACATTAGTGGCAGGATACAGACCTGTGGCGTCCATCTCACCTGTCTCCTGGGGTGGTTCTTCTCCTGATTCCTCTATAGACAGTTTTACTGAAGCCTCAGAGGATGGACGCTGGTGCACCTTACGGACTCTCTGTGTAGCCATGGCAGTGTCACTGCAGGCCCCCTGTCGTCGACTGGAAATTGCTAACGGTTGCCGGAAACGCTGTCGTCGATGAAGGAAGGAAGGAATGAAAGGAAGTAATTGCGTTCGAATGATCATACACCAGGTTTAAAATATATATGTGTGGGTTGAGCTCTGTATAAGAACACACCCCTTTCTCCATCTGATATAAGAATAATTATCAAGACAAAGTAAACCAAAAAGTGTAAATCTTTGAATTATTGTGTTGGGAAGTAGGGAGGCTGGCTAGTATTGTTTTAGAGAAAAGCCTGTCAAGGGGGTATTTGAAAAAACGTTCATTCAACATAACTGATTTTCTATAAAATGATGTATTTGAACCGAAAGAGAATAAATTGGTACGTTTGATCAAGCGCTGACACTATTCTGTTTCAAACAGTACCTACCCACTCACACACAAGAAGACATAAGTAAAGAGAAACATTAAAGAAATGTATTTGCATACAGAACATAATTTTTTTTCTCGAGAGTCACAACCGCCCAAGCCTTCCTCACATGCATCAACGTGTACCATTCACACTGGGCCTGTATAGTGAAACTACTTGTACATGAACGAGAATAAAACGTGCTCGTTTAAAGCCGTCAGCAAATCATCTACAGTTACGTTCGTGTCTTTGCGTTTGTAAGGTGATTGGATGTATCGAACTATCATCTAATACCGTTTGTAAAATCATAATTTTAGACCCAATTTGCATCGTAATCGGCAGTCTTCGGTTAATGTTGCGTAAATATAAATAGAGGATTAACCACTGTATCCGGTTGTTACCGAAAAATCTACACACTCGTGATTAATCTGTCACGATTAGAACGAGGCTTTGCAGAGTTCTAATTGTGGCAGATTAATCACGAGTGTGTAGATTTTTCGGTAACAACCGAACACAGTGGTTAATCCTTTTTCTCCCATAACAATACGCCATAAAAAGTCGAGCTCTTAGTTGAAGATTTGCCGTGTTTAGTAACCACTCGGGATTCCCCACAGCCTCGTTTTCGAATATGCTTAGTAAGACAACTGCACCATAAACAGGACAACAGGATCTAGCGAAGACAACCCACACGAGTTTTCCCGTGACAGGCAAGCCACTTGGCAGCATTCATGTTATGTTTTTTTGTTAACTATTAAAAGCTAATAGGAGTAACGTTTTGAGAATTAGTAATGTGATTTGATATTTGTTAATGGTTTTGGATTACTCGGACCATAACTTTATTTGCATAGTCTCGCCGTGACCATCATTCTCAATGCGCAACACTAAATAGGCCCACCTTTTTAGTGTATGTAAATACGTTATTCGTTTATTTTTCCACTAGAAACAAATGTTATAAACACAGTTAAGAGGAAATTAAATAATGTCTTATATATTGTGAAATATTGTTAACGAAAAACAAGGGCCCAAGGAACTGTCAGGAACTGTCAGCAGGATCAGGCAAGATTCTGTAAATACCAACTCAGGCAACTGAACAGCTGATTACTGCGAGTTTTTGTTTTGTTCCTGAGCATGGTGAGCACATGTGTTTTTATTATATATAAAAATATTCAGTGGACAATTTTTCTTTTGTTACTAAATGAGTTATCTAATTTCCCCATATCAGTGAATGACAAGAGACAATGTGAATTTGACAAGCACAATACTTTATTGTGTGTGAAACATAAATACATAGGATATATGTAAACAAAAAATTATCATTTCAATAGTTCTACAAATATTTGCATCTTAATACCCTTGTAATGTCACATTGTAATTTTACTGCAACAGTTACATCAAAACTTTAGTCTTTTGTTATTTTATCAGATTAGAAGTTAACTAAAGACTTACTGATAATAGGTAATTTAAAATTAACATTTTCTTCTTTTTATCTTCATGAAAACAAGACATAATAATAAATATGTATTTTAGTGACGTGTTCACATATGATTTTTTTGTAAAAAATATTAAAATTAAAATTAGACATTGCTAATGTAAAGAAATGAGGTTCATGGTAAAATGTTATAAGAGGACCTCTTGTTGGTCATTTCTTCATCACCAATAAATTTGAGTTTTTCTTTACTTACCATGTTCTGAAAAGTAACACATTAGAATAATTTAAGGTCTCTGATTAAAATAACGACACAGCTGTCCACTCCCAGACAGCCAATAATTTAATGTGAAAAAATAAACCACTGTAAACCTTGTAATGGGAGAATAATAAATAAAAATACATTTCTTATTTTGTCATATGTCCAGTTTATCATCCCAAGAAATGCTAAATAAACTGACGTCCAAAAGAAACTTTACCAACTGAAAATATAAATTTCAGACAAAGTATAATTTTTTTTCTAAAACACATAACCTAAATACAACAATAGTGTATGCAGAGAATGTTAATCGTCTGTTACATGTTTGCGAGATAACAAGCGAAAACGTGAAAAACACGTGCACAACGGACAACTGCAAATGCACGTGCGGGTAAGGGTATAAAACGATTGCAACGGCAAGTCAGACATCCACAGTGATAAAAATACACAAAAGAAATTCCACGACTCACAGTCGAACAACGTGAACGTGGTACAGATGGGAGCCACCCACGCCCATATTGCACGAACCTTCGGTTGCTCCCGTGTTGCCGTTACCAACTTGATGCAACGTTACAGACAGGCAGGGCGGACCGCTGACAGGCCAAGAACAGGCAGACCCAGGGTGACCACGCCCCATGTTGACCGGTACTTGTGTACTGTGACGTCATAAGCGACAAATGCCTTAGGTCACAGGGTTAGTCGACAGACAGTTGCCAGGGGACTCAGGGCTCATGGAATCAGGGCTTTTAGACGATACAGAGGACAGCTATTGACAGCGCAACATCGTCGTCTGCGATTGAGATGGGCCCGGACTGTACGACGTTGGCAACGACGTGACTGGCAGAAAGTTGTCTTCACTGACGAAAGTCGATTCTGTATGTTTAGGGCTGATGGAAGACAACGTGTGTACCGCCGAAGGGGTGAACGAACGGCGGCGAATTGCGTGCAGGAGGTCGTACCATGTGGTGGAGGGAGTGTCATGGTGTGGGGAGAGATCTGTGGGCAGGAGAGGACACCGCTGGTCATCGTTGACGGAGACTTGACAGCTCAGCGTTACATGGATAACATTCTTCGTCCAGTTGTCCTACCATTTCTCCAACAGAAGCCACGTGGTGTCATATATCAGCATGACAACGCTAGAGCCCATACAGCCAGAATTGTCACTAACTTCCTCGCAGCCAACAACGTCAACGACCTGCCGGGCCTGCACGTTCACCCGACATGTCCCCCATAGAACACCTCTGGGACTTAATGGATCGTCGTATTCGACAACGACCACACTCTCCAGCCAACCGGCAAGAACTGATCTTGGCCCTCCAAGAAGAATGGCGTCAAATCCCACGTGACCTCATCAGACGACTGACTTTTTCTGTGCGTCGAAGAGTTTTTGCGTGTATTGAGGCATTTGGTGGTCACACACGCTACTAATGACTTGTTATTGAACGTGAGCGATTGCTTATGTACTCTGCCTATTGTCCATGATTCTGAAAGCTCGAGTTTTGTACCACACCCAACTTTGGGGGGCTCTGACGTCATTCTCGGTCGCGGTATGATTGTCATTTTCAGTGTTGATTATGTTGATATATTGATCTTCACAATACACTTTACTTCATGCATGTATGTTTTGTTGTTTTTGAGCAAGAGTGATTTCAAACTCTGGTAAAGTTTCATTTGGACGTCAGTTTATATATCATTAAAATTAAGCTACATGTAGCTGTGCATATTGGGGCTCTTTATCTGCTATGATAATATAACAATTGCATTATTAAAGAGGTGGGTTTTTCAGTAAACATGGTAAATAATAAATCTTTGGTTTGAAGAATATACTTGAGACAAACATAATTCTACATGTCTTAATACTCTGTATTGTCTGTTAATTCTGAAAATAATTAACTGTGATATTGAGTTTCTACTTAAAACTAATAATGTGAAATTAATTTTGAGATCATTTCATCCTTTCTAAAATACAAAATATATTTTAAGATGCATAAATGTACATCATTGTTGCAGTAAAATAACAATGTAACATTACAAGGGTATGAAGATGCAAATATTTGTAGAACTATTGAAATGATAATTTATTGTTTACATATCTCCTATGTATTTATGTTTCACACACAATAAATTATTGTGCTTGTCAAATTCACATTGTTTCTTGTCATTCACAAATGTCATGAATGTTAAATATTATGTTTAAAAGAAAAATTGTCCAATGAATAAGTCTGTTTTTTATATAATGACAGTTCCTTTGGGCCCTTGTTTTTCGTAAACAATATTTCACAATATATAAGACAATATATAAAAAAAAATCCTCTTAATTGGGTTTATAACATTTGTTTCTAGCGAACAAATAAACGAATAACGTATTTACATACACTGAAAAGGTGGGCCTATTAAGTGTTGCGCATTGAGAATGATAGTCACGGCGAGACGAATGCAAAAAAAGTTATGGGCCGAGTAATTCAAAACCATTAACAAATATCAAATCACATTACTAATTCTCAAAACGTTACTCCCATCAGCTTTTAATAGTTAACAAAAAAACATAACATGAATGCTGCCAAGTGGCTTGCCTGTCACGGGAAAACTCGTGTGGGTTGTCTTCGCTAGATCCTTTTTACCTGTTTATGGTGCAGTTGTCTTACTCAGCATATACGAAAACGAGGCTGGGGGGAATCCCAAGTGGTTACTAAACACGGGAAATCTTCAACTACGAGCTCGACTTTTTATGGCGTATTGTTTTATGGCGTGATTAATCTGCAACAATTTGAACTCTGCAAAGCCTCGTTCTAATCGTGACAGATTAATCACGAGTGTGTAGATGTTTCGGTAACAACCGAACACAGTGGTTAATCATCTCTTTATTAAATGAATGAATGAATGTCTTCATTTCCTCCAAATAATTCCGAAGATTCTCAAAACATCAAGATTATGTTATTAAATATATCAAACGAG